AAGTAGAGTTTTGCTCCACTTTCCCTCATTTATTTATATGTTTTTTAGCTGATCCCCATCCCCAGGGCTCTTCCAATTCCCTGACTGCTCTTCTAGGTGTTTAAGGCTAATTTTTTTATATATCTTAGCCTCTCCTGGCTTTGAAAGCCTTCATCCCCAGCAGGATGAGGAGGCAGAGCATGTGTTGGGAGGAAGATGCCCAGCAGCCCCGTGGGTTTTTTGTGTCTTGCTGAGTGTTTTCCATGTTGTCACAGCTTCTTGAGCATCCTCTGCTCTGCAGGGGTTGGGGGGAGAGACTCTCGTGTCTATTAAAGCCATTTTTCCTCGGTCCCTGCAAATTGCCTATGAAAAAAAAAAAAAAAACAAACCAAAAAAAACCAGCCACGTCTTGAGTAATCTCCGCATCTTGGACATTTTCTGCATGAAATATTCAAGAGCCTGATACTGTTCTCTTTGATGGGTGGTGAGTTATTACCAGCGTAGGCGCTTGGGTTTCTCCTAGGCATGCGGTGATGGGAACAATTAGCACCCAATTAGGCACCTTGCATCTGTTCTGGGGCTTTATTTTATTTTTTTTTTCCCCCGCTTAAAAAAAAAAATTATTAAATTGCAACGCACCAACAAGCTGGGGAAAGAAAAAAAAAAAATAAACCAAACCACCACCAAAATCAAAAATTCCTCTGCTGTGTAGGGAACTGTAATCTCCGCATCTTGGACATTTTCTGCATGAAATATTCAAGAGCCTGATACTGTTCTCTTTGATGGGTGGTGAGTTATTACCAGCGTAGGCGCTTGGGTTTCTCCTAGGCATGCGGTGATGGGAACAATTAGCACCCAATTAGGCACCTTGCATCTGTTCTGGGGCTTTATTTTATTTTTTTTTTCCCTTGCTTAAAAAAAAAAAATAAACCAAACCACCACCAAAATCAAAAATTCCTCTGCTGTGTAGGGAACTTTTAATGTCAGAGTGAGCTGGTGAGCTGAATTCCTGCGTGATAACAAGGGTAGGAGAGGATTTTGGTGCCAGGAGAGGATGGGGTGGTCCCTGCAGTGATGCAAAAAGTCCCCAAAATGGGACATATCTGCACCGGGGGTGTCTGGGCACCGCAGGGACCCAGGTCCCCGGGAGGTGTGTGGAGATGGGGAGGGAGAAGGAGCCCCTGGAGCTGCCTCCCCTTGGTGTTGTCCTGCTCTTTTTCACCCAGAAATCCACCGTATTTTCTAGAAGCAGCTTGTAACCTCTTGGCTTTGAAACCCAGCTCTTGGAAGGGGTTTGGGGGAAGATACATGCGTGTGTGTGTGTATATATATATAATTAATTTTTGTTAAGCCCTTTCTTCACTCATTTTTTGTCAACTTGGAGGCCTTTTGGGGAAAACACCACGCTGTGCCCTGCAGCTCCCTGTGTCACCGTCCCCCTCTCTCCATCCCCAGCCCTTTGCAGGCAGAGACTGCCCATTCCCACGCTGTGCCCTGCAGCTCCTTGTGTCACTGTCCCCCTCTCTCCATCCCCAGCCCTTTGCAGGCAGAGACTGCCCATTCCCACCTGCTGCCAGGAGCTGCCAGCCGGCAATTTGGCACCAATTCCTCCTGTTTCTGCTAAGATGGACTTGGCTCCTTCTACTTTTTTCTTTTTTTTTTTTCCCCGGGCACTTAAAAGCAGAAATCTGAGAAACTATGGGCCGGCTCCAGGAGGGGTTTATTCCTGGCAGGGAGAGTCTCATCCAAACGACTGCAAACTCATTGTATACAACGGAAAGAGTGACATCTGGCTTGGATATTCTGGAAAGATTACCAGCTGGCTTGTCATGTATTATGAAAAGAATAACATTTGCCTTAGAGGATGCTACAAGCCAGGAGCAGGGCCCCGGGGAGCAGCGTGACAAATTTGCGTGGCGCTGGGTGATGAACTTGCCGCGGTTCTTTAAGAGGATTGACGTGCCTTCGCCTCTAATTTGGGGAGGGGGGGGGGAAATACTGTCGGAAACTTTATTTATCTCCCACGGAGGGGAGGAGGAGAGGGACTCCAGACACCTTCCTGCCATGGGGATGGTGTGAAAGGAGAAGGGTTGGAGCTTTTTTGCTTTTCTGCTCTGTAAAAGCCCACCCCCCCCACCTCCCAGTTGGGCTTTTCTTTCCCCCAGTTTGCAAATGGGGAGAAAAAACGCCTTGATCCAAGGCTGGTTTTGGCCGTGGGGAGGGCTGAGCACTGCAAATATTTCCTTATCTGGCTTTGTGCATCTCCACTAGGGAGATGGTGTGTCAAGAGCTGAGCATCAGCCCCAGGAATGGGCACAGGATGGGACCCCCCCTCCACCTTCCCTCCTCGCCGCTGGTGGAAACTTTGGGGATTTTCTTTCTAAATCACTGAGGGAGGGAAATAAATGTGGGTCTGGCCAAAATAACCTGCAGGTGGGCTTGGGGGAGTTGTGTTTGAAGGGGGAAAGGGAGGGAGAGGCGGTGCTGGTTCCTTTACTGCTACTTATCGGCATCCAGGAGTCCTGTCTTCTCCTCGGGAGGGCTTGGATAACCCAGATGAAGAGGCTGACCTTGCCCTGGAAATTTGGAGCCCGTCGGGAGGCTGTAAGTGGGTCAGGCAGCTGGTGGAAGTGGGAAAATAATCCAGTTCAACACCACTGGCAGCTCCTCAGCAGGAGAAAACCCAGAGCAGCCTGCGCCGCCAGCCTTGGGAAGAAGCAAAAAGAAGGTCCCAAGCGATGCTGGGCTCCCCAAAAGGACCAGGGGAGTCCCCAGAAGAGGCTCAGCTGCTCCACAGAAGGGGGTTGTGTTGGTGGCTGAAAAACCTCGTGACCTGGAAAAAGCCCCGGGTCAGGGATGGCTGGAAACAGCAAAAATCTCCAGGAAATCACTGCGTTCCCCCATGGAGCATCCAGTGCTCTGGTCCAGCCCTGAGCAGCTGGGCTTTATTCCCTCCTCTGTCCTTAATTAGCCCACGAAATTGCAGTGGCCTCCTGGCTACGGGCTCAGCAGCAGCATCTCTGCTCCTCCCCAGCGCTGGCTGCATTTTGGGGGTGCCTGTCCCCCCCCCATTCCCCCCATGCACTCGGGATGGGGTGTGATGAAAAGCGCTGGCTGGATGTCAGGTATCCCTGCAGACCCCTTCTGCTTCCTTCAGTCCTGTATTTAATTTGATCAAAACCTTCTGAAAACAAATCATTCCTATTTAAAAAAAAAAAAAAAAAGAAAAAAGAAAAAGAAAATAAATCACACCACAATTTCTACCCTTTATTTTCATCAGTTCTTATGGCTTTAGGCAGGTACCGTTGGATGATTCAATCACCGGTTGGACAAAGATGACATTTAATTAAGAAGGAAGGAAGAGGAAGCTAAAGGAAATAATGTATGCCTTCTTCTTGCTGTATGAAGTGTGGGGGAAAGGAAAAAAAAAAAAAAAAAGGAGCTGAGGAGATTTTCTGTTGTAAAATGCAAAGTCTCATCTACGGTGTCAGCAACTTGGCTGCTTCGCAGCGATTCCTCCCTGTGATTGAGCTCCAGCCTGGGCCCCGGTTCAGCCTCGTGTCTCCTCGGTTAATGACTGAGTCAATTTGGAAAACTACAGCCCATCCATCTGTCCACCTGGTCCATCCGTCCGGCCTCCTCTGCATCCTTCCTGCTTCTTTCTCCTCCTGCCTCTGGTGATACGGTTCATCCTGAGGAGAAAAAAAAATAATAGATCTTCAGAGCATCATGTGGGAAGTGTGGGTTTGTGTCTGTGGGGTGGGGGGTGCCCACACCCCTGGAAATAACTCTGCTTCCATCTCTCCTTCTGCTTTCTCTGTGCCCTGAGCGGTGAGAAAAGATGAGATAATCAAGCCAATAATTGGGTTAGGAGTGGAAATCGGCTTCTCTTCTGCCCTGGGGAGGCCCCAGCTGGAGCACTGGGACCAGTTCTGGGCTCCCCAGTTCCAGAAGGACAGGGAACTGCTGGGGAGGGGACAGCAGAGGCTCCAGAGATGATCAAGGGACTGGAGCATCTCCCTTCCGAGGAAAGGCTGAGGGACTTGGGGCTTTTGAGTGTGGAGAAGAGAAGGCTGAGGGGGGATCTGATCAACACCTCTAAATACTGAAAGGGTGGGTGTCAGGAGGATGGGGCTGGTCTTTTTTCAGTGGTGCCCAGGGACAGGACAAGAGGAAATGGGCACAGACTTGAACATAAGAAGTTCCATCTCAACACAAGGAGGAACTTCTTTGCTGTGAGGGTGGCAGAGCCCTGGCAGAGGCTGCCCAGGGAAGTGGTGGGGTCTCCTTCTCTGGAGACATTCCAAATTCCCCCCTGGACACGTTCCTGTGGGACCTGCTCTGGGTGGCCCTGCTTTGGGAAGGGGGTTGGAGGAGATGATCTCCAGAGGTCCCTTCGAACCCCATGGGATTCTGTGATTCAGTGTTCCTCCATTCTCCCCGTCCTTCTGCCCTTACCCAGCCCAGGGCAGGAGCATCTCCGTGCTCCAAGGTCTCTGCGAGGTTTCCTTTTGCTTTTGGTTTTGTTTAGATTTTTTTCCTTTTCTCGGCTGCAAACAAGAAGACGGGAAAAATGTAACCCCCAACCTCAGGCATTTTAATTGCGCTCGGAGCTTTAACATTTCAGGGGGAAAGATAAAAACAAGCAGTGAAATTTTACGGGCGGGTAATGACGCCGGGAGCAGCGCGGCCAAACGAGGTCGTGAAGTTTATGGTGTGCTCTGTCGGTCGGGATGCTCTGGGGAGATGGGGAGCAGTAAAGGATGGAGGAATGAGGGTCCCACACCCCGTTGGGTACCCACCCGTGGGCAGACACCCCTCCCTCACCCGTCACCCTCTAAGTGAGACAAGAAGTTGCACCTCCTGAGCCTGGATCTCATTTAGATCTCCTTTCTCCAGCCCCTTTATCCTCTTTTCTCTCCTTTATTTTCTCTTAAAATGTCACCTCTCGCTGTTGAGATGCTCTGAGCCGGGAGTGGGGGTGAAATCCCATCCCTCTCCCTCTTGTTCTTCCCACCCAGGTCCCGTCTGGCCGATTTCCACACCAACTGCCAAGCATCCTTCCAGTCCCTGACCAGTTGCCCCGGGGACAACTACCAGGCGTGCCTGGGCTCCTACGCGGGGCTCATCGGTGAGTGCTGGAGGGGGTTCAGGGTGGAGAAGGGTCTCTTCCACTGAGGTCCTTCATCTCTCTTCATCATCCTCTTCCTCTTCCGGGACCAGGCTTTGACATGACGCCCAACTACGTCGACGCCAGCCCCACCAGCATCACCATCTCGCCCTGGTGCTCCTGCAAAGGCAGCGGCAACATGGAAGAGGAGTGTGAGAAGTTCCTCCGAGACTTCACGGAAAACCCCTGTCTCCGTAAGGCTCTTCTCCAACCCCATTCCTCCCCCCTGGGGGTGTGCAGCCCCCCCGCCCCCCCTAAACATCCCCCGTCACCCTCTAAATGGGACAAGAAGTTGCGCCTCCTGAGCATAGATCTCATTTAGATCTCCTTTCTCCAGCCCCTTTATCCTCTTTTCTCTCCTTTATTTTCTCTTAAAATGTCACCTCTCGCTGTTGAGATGCTCTGAGCCGGGAGTGGGGGTGAAATCCCATCCCTCTCCCTCTTGTTCTTCCCACCCAGGTCCCGTCTGGCCGATTTCCACACCAACTGCCAAGCATCCTTCCAGTCCCTGACCAGTTGCCCCGGGGACAACTACCAGGCGTGCCTGGGCTCCTACGCGGGGCTCATCGGTGAGTGCTGGAGGGGGTTCAGGGTGGAGAAGGGTCTCTTCCACTGAGGTCCTTCATCTCTCTTCATCATCCTCTTCCTCTTCCGGGACCAGGCTTTGACATGACGCCCAACTACGTCGACGCCAGCCCCACCAGCATCACCATCTCGCCCTGGTGCTCCTGCAAAGGCAGCGGCAACATGGAAGAGGAGTGTGAGAAGTTCCTCCGAGACTTCACGGAAAACCCCTGTCTCCGTAAGGCTCTTCTCCAACCCCATTCCTCCCCCCTGGGGGTGTGCAGCCCCCCCGCCCCCCCTAAACATCTCCTCTCCCCAGGAAATGCCATCCAAGCCTTTGGCAACGGCACCGACGTGAACCTGGCCCCCAAGAACCCATCACCCCCCATCACCCTGCCGCCGAAGACGGAGAAGAGCCCGGCCTTGCCGGATGACATCAACGACAGCAACACCATCTACGACACGAGCGTCATCACCACCTGCACCTCCATCCAGGTAGGAGACCCCAGTTCCAGTCACTGGTGCAAACCTGGGGGCAACTGGTCTGGACCCTTGGTGGGTCCATCAGCCAGAAGATCTGCTGCAGCCCATGGGCAGTAGAACTTCTGGTTGGACTTTTTGGATGGAGTGGATGGAGTCATCTGGACAAGTTGCTGTGGGACCTGCTCTGAGTGGACCTGCTTTGGCAGGGGGTTGGACTGGTGATCTCCAGAGGTCCCTTCCAACCCCATGTGATTCTGTGATCTTGCTCTGGATGTGGTGTTAGCACCCAGGTGCCCAGCAGGATCCGGCCATTCCTGGTACTGGGGGGTCTGGGCACTGCCTGGGGGATCTGGTGTGGGGAAAGGAGGGATCCCTGCCCTTCCCATCCCCATCCCTCGCTCCAGGATCATCCCCTGCCCAGCAAGGGCAAGGTGAGCTGGAGTAGCTGCCCTGAGCCCAACTGCTCTCATTTTGGGGTGAAAACAGCTTGAATCCCACACGGTTTTGGGAAAACCTGAAAATTACCTATTTTCTTGCATCACACTGGGCTTGTGGGTTCACACTTTGTTCCTTGGGTGGAAAGGTGCTGCAGAGAGGAGCGGGACTGGGGGGGTGTCTGTGGCCAAGGGGTGTCACAGGGGTGTAGGCAGGAGTATTTGCAGCAGGGAGCATGAGGGGGGGGATGAATATTTGAGTCCTTCCAGCCTCTGTTTTCTTTGCACTCTCTGCTGCTTCGGGCAGGAGCCCAGAGCCTCTGGGGGAGAAGGGATGGAGCCCCTTTTTCTTTCTCCTCTCCTTTTTGAGAGCCCTGGGTGTTTGGGAAGCTCATGGGGGAGGCTTCACACTTCAACACCAGCTTGTGCTCCGGGCTGGGATTGTCCCCTGCACAGGGCATCACCCCAGGCATCACCTCACACCCTCGGCAGCTCCTGGGGGGGAACTTGGGGACCCCAAATCTCAGGGTGTGACCCCCGTCAGGAGCCCATACCTTCCCCTAAGCCTTTCTCCTTCCTCCTTTCTCCTCTCCAGGAGCACGGAGCGAAGCTAAACAAGTCCAAAGAGCAGAGCCTGTGCTACTCAGAGGTAGGTTTGGGGCAGGGAGGGGGGTCCTGGGGCTGGGAGGAACTACAAATGGCTTGGGAAGGATGCACCAGGGATCACCGGCTTCACTGCCCAGAGGGCAAAAATAGATGTTTTTCAAGTTTGGATGGTTTTTCCCCCAAAAAGAACCCTGGGTGAAGCTCTACTCTCCCCTCACCCACAGACCCAGCTCACCACGGACATCATGCCAGACCAGAAGACCTTCGTGGACCAGAAGGCAGGCGGCAGCCGGCACCGGGCGGGCGGGATCCTGCCCCTCGTGCCCATCCTCCTGCTGAAGCTGATGGTATAGAGGGCGAGGAAGGCAGCGGGATGGGGACCCTGGCCCAGGTGTGCCCCCCTCCCCCAACACACACTGGCCCCCACCTCGGCTCCCACCAGGGACAGGAAGGACCATCCTCCTGCCATCTCCTCTCCTTTTTGAGAGCCCTGGGTGTTTGGGAAGCTCATGGGGGAGGCTTCACACTTCAACACCAGCTTGTGCTCCGAGCTGGGATTGTCCCCTGCACAGGGCATCACCCCAGGCATCACCTCACACCCTCGGCAGCTCCTGGGGGGGAACTTGGGGACCCCAAATCTCAGGGTGTGACCCCCGTCAGGAGCCCATACCTTCCCCTAAGCCTTTCTCCTTCCTCCTTTCTCCTCTCCAGGAGCACGGAGCGAAGCTAAACAAGTCCAAAGAGCAGAGCCTGTGCTACTCAGAGGTAGGTTTGGGGCAGGGAGGGGGGTCCTGGGGCTGGGAGGAACTACAAATGGCTTGGGAAGGATGCACCAGGGATCACCGGCTTCACTGCCCAGAGGGCAAAAATAGATGTTTTTCAAGTTTGGATGGTTTTTCCCCCAAAAAGAACCCTGGGTGAAGCTCTACTCTCCCCTCACCCACAGACCCAGCTCACCACGGACATCATGCCAGACCAGAAGACCTTCGTGGACCAGAAGGCAGGCGGCAGCCGGCACCGGGCGGGCGGGATCCTGCCCCTCGTGCCCATCCTCCTGCTGAAGCTGATGGTATAGAGGGCGAGGAAGGCAGCGGGACGGGGACCCTGGCCCAGGTGTGCCCCCCTCCCCCAACACACACTGGCCCCCACCTCGGCTCCCACCAGGGACAGGAAGGACCATCCTCCTGCCAGAGACTGAACCGCTGGAGATGCCGAGCCCCGGGCACGCCGGGTGGCAGGAGGGACCCTCACCACGTTGGAAAACTTTGGTGGTTTTCTTCCTCTTTTCATTTTTCCCTCTTTATTTTTTTTATTTTTTTTTTTTTTGGCCTGGGGGTGGGGAAGGTCTTTTTTGGTGCAGTTGGGTTTCTCTTCTAAAGCAGGAGCCCGCTGCTCGTGGTGAACCCCCCCCTGCCACAGGGAATTCCGAGCTGCCAGAGGCACCGGGGAGGGAAAATAATCCTGGAGAGGAGTTTTGGCAGAGGTTTTTTTGCCGGACCCATCATCCTGGAGAGGCCATGGGGAGGCCACGGGGACGGCGAGGTTTCCACATTGAAGCATCCTGAAGGATGGAGGTGCCATCAGGAGGCTCTTCTTCATCCTCCGAGGGGACTCGTTCCAGCTCTTGATGTTGTTATTGGGGTTGCTTTGGGGTTGGGTTTTTTTGGTTTGTTGGTTTTTTTTTTAATTCATTTCCCATGGTTGGCGAGAGTTTTCAAAGGGAAAGAGAAAAGAAGCTCCTGTTCACACGTCGTGAGGTTGTCCTGGTGTTCCCAATCTGTCACTTGGAGGGGGGGAGAGTTTTCTTTTATTATTTTTTGTTTTCTTTTTAAACATTTGTCCAGTCAAATTTGGGTTGGGATCTGACCCGACCTCTATGTTTCCCTCCATCCTCTCCATTTCCTTTCTTTTATATATACATATATAGTGTATGTATATAACGTTCACCTATACCTACATATATGTATGTATAGACATAACCATATACATCTACAGTGTGGCTTTTTTTTTTTTTCATTTCCTTTTTTCCTTTGTTTTTAAAAAAGAAGAAAAAACCTGCTCGAACGGCAACAACAACTTAAAAATGTATTATTATTGTAAAGTTTATTTTTTTTAATAATGTCTATAATGGAAAAAAAAAAAAAAAAAGGAAAAAAAAAAAATAAACCAAGAACAACCAACCAAGGAACGAAGCAGCACGAGCTCCTCTGAGCATCCTCCTCTGCCTGGGGCTGTGTTTCCCCCCCCCCCCCAGGGTTGGGGGGGGGAAAAAATGGGGTGGGGGGACATGGCCCTTCAGCTGCAGAAACCGCAGGGATTTGGGTCAGTCTAAATATTTTGCAAGGCTGCAAACAATCCCCCGACTGTTTTGCTCGGGGAGACAAGCAAACAAGCAAACATTTCAAAGGAGCTGACACGTTCCCGTGTGGCAGGAGGGTTGGTTTTTTTTTTTTTTTTATGTGCAATAACTTTGTTTTTGAAAATACCATCCTTTTCCCTTTATGTCTTTCGTTTTTTTTTTTTCCTGAGCAACCTGACGGTGCTTAAAACCAAACCGAAACGCTGAGATTTGGGTCACACAAAACATCAAGTTTCTTGAGTCAGATGAAGATATTTATTTCTTTTCTTTTTTTTTTTTTTTTTCCTCTTTTGTTTTTTTTTTTTTACTGCTCGTGCCAAGGAACAGAAACATCAACCCCTCATCCAGCTCTGCCTGCGGAAAAAAAACGGGATGTCAAGGGCATCTCGGGGACCTGGGGATGCCAAAATCTGAGCTGAAGGACCAGCTGGGCTGTTTTGGAGGGTGCTGGTGGAGAGGGGAGGGAGGGAGATATATATATATATATTTATATATATTCCCTTTTGCAGCGCGGAAAAAAGAAAACACCTTTGATGTGGAAGTTGGCGCGGGGAAAATAAACATGTCACGTCTCTCGCAGGAGTCGCGTTGCAAACCCAGGCTGCTCTTTACCATCTTCTCTCCTCTAACAGCCAGGAAAATGACAGCTCGGAGAGAGGGAGCCAGATGTGCTGAGCAGTTTGGCACCGGAGGAAAAAAAAAAAGAAAAAAAAGAAAAAAGAAAAAGAAAAAAAAAAACTCTAGGCACGGAGGGGGGCGTTCGAGGGGGTTCTCCAGCCAACTTTGGGGGTCACCCAGACGTGTCCTCCTGCTTCAAAGTTTCAGCAGTGACATGTGGACCCCCCCGAGCACCCTGATCCTTTAGGAAAAGGGCTGTAAAATAGAGTGGAGGTTGCTCTTTTTGGTGGTGGTTTGATTTCCTTCTTCCCTGAGGAGGTTGGAAAGGCTTGAGGCTGTTCTGAAAGGTTTATGGATTGCTTTGCTAGAAAAGGTCAGGGAGAAACATCTCCATCCTAGAGCTGATGCCGTGGCTGATTCCCGATGGATATCTGCACCCCCAGGAGATGTCCATCCTGTTCTCCAGGTCTTCCAGCTAAGGAGGCACCAGCAAAGGGCTTCCAATGAGCCTGAGTTAACTGTTGTCCCCTTGCTTTTGTGGGTTTTTTGGTGGTGCCGTGCCCTCCCCAAGCACCCATGGTCATGGTGGGGCGAGAGATGGGGCAGCACCTGGAGCTGCTGTGCATGGAGCACCCCGGATCCCAGCTGTACCCCCATCCCCTTCCCAGCTGGGTCCTATCACAGAGCTTGTGCTGGAGCTGCTGAATATTCATCCCGTTGGGATGAAGGCATCATCCCTGCTGATGAGCGTGTGCCTTCATCCAGGTGCCTGGTACCTCCAGCTGGTGAAAACCAAAGCTTTTCAAGGTGGAAATGCTCATCCTGGGGCTGGGGATGTGAAATCTCAGCCTTGCTAAGTCTTCCTCTCCCAACACAAAGCCCTTCCTGGAAGGAGGGCCAGGGGATGAGATGTTCTTGGCTCGTGAAGCGATGGAAGGAGATCTGGGGGAAGTCCTTCTGAAGGATGCGGTGGAGCTAAGAGGGGCTGCTAAATCCCTGCCTTTCCTGCTGGCAGAGGCTGTGCCAAGTACACGAGGATTTTGTTTGCGTGGTGGAGTTTTAGGAATGGTCCTTCTCGAGGAGCAGCACAAATGGAGCTTTGTGGGGTCTCCAGCCCACAGAGGGTCTCCAGTCCCTCTCAGCTGGAGCCAAACCTCATCTCGGCTGGATTTGGAGAGACCCCAGATGTCGGTGGGATGTTTGGAGACCTTGTGTGGGCTCTTGGGAGAGCTGAATTGCAAAGGGCAGCATGGACAGTCCTGCTCCCAACCTCTCCAACCCTCATCCATCACGGCAGGAGGGATGGATCCTGCGTGCCAGACATGGACGTGTGGGCAGCGGAGATGCTCTGGTGCTTTTTGGCTACTTGCAGCTTTGGCGTGACCAGAGGAACCAGAAACCAGCCTGCAAAATCCACCCGTGGGCACAGCCCCGAGGAGCCGTGTGGACTCGGTGCCTTCCAGACGTCCTAGCTGAGCCTGGGATCCAGCAGCTCCAGGACTTGCACCTCCCCGAGGGCTGTAAAGCACGAGGGACCAGGACTACCTGCAAAAAGGGGATTTTCCTGCTCTATTTCCTCCATTGACCCAGCTACAAAAGATGTTGGAAGGAGGTATCTACCACGGCTTCCCAAATCCCAGGAATACCCTGAGCCACAGGCAGCCGGTGGGCACTATCCCCTTGCCCGTGTCCATCCTCTCCCTTCACTCCCATCCACCAAAAAAAAAATGGGATTAAGGGCAGTTTTTCTTTAAGAGCAAGTTTTTGGTGCTCTGGTTTGGGGTTTGCTCCCCCGTGGCACAACCTGGTGGATTTTGGCCCATCTCTCACGACAAGGGCACCTGCAGCGAGACTGAGAGACTTCTCCAACGTGAGGGGAGATTGACAATAGGTGGGATGGCACCTTTGCCCTCTGTAATTAAAGTGATGTTCTCCTTTAGGCTTGAATCAGCACCCCAGCCAGCGTGGTTGGGCAGGTGTCATCCTCCTCCTCCTCCCTCTTTTTCATCCTCCCTTAAATAAGTTATCACCTTGGGGCTCTCCTGACACCTCCAGATTTACTGCGAGCAGATATTTTTGTCTCATTAACTTTCCCGAGCTGCTTCACTTCACAAGAAATACTCATCTTTTTTTTTTTTTTTTTTCCCTTATTGTGCTGTGTTTAATTTTAAAGGTGTAAAAATAACCCTTTACTGGCCACGTGGCGATGAGTGGAGCTACGGGGATGGGGATGCGCATGGAGTTGGGGATGCTCCAGTTTAGTATCCTCTTGATCCTCAAGTCCAGAAGTTCACTTGATGTTGTTCCAGTGGGAAAAGAAAGAGGAGGAGGTGGGAAATTGGTCCCTTTTGTCCCTGGAACAATCCCAGTGAGGCATCAATCCACTCTTCCAATCACCCATCACCATTATCTGGGATGATCTCTCCGGAGGAGGAGCCAGCAGGAGCCTTGGCGAGGTCTCTGCCAAGGAGAGGAAACCAGAATTGATTGATTTTTTTTAATCTTTAATATTGGAAGTGAAGCTCTGGAGGCTCTCACGGGTCCTGGGACCTCGGATGGCCCCTTGAGATTTAAAGGATTTGGAGGAGCAGGATGCCAAGCAGCAGGAACACCAGGACCCCCAGCTTCAACTTGGGGAAGCAGTTGAAGAGGTGTTTTGGGGGGTGGCACGGGGGGGACTCTGCCCCACAAACCGTGTCCCAAACCTTTCAGGGCTGGGGACACCAGGGAGGCACAAAAGGGAGTCTGGACTTGCTCTGACCAGCTGTAACCACTGTCCCCAAGGAGAAGAAGAGCTCAAGGGGTGCCCAAGAAGCCCCCAAAACCCATGGGCTTGGCTTGAAAACACAGAAGGGTCCTGCTTTTTATATCCATGTGAAGATGTGTTTTTCTTATGAGCGTGAGTGATGAAAAAAAAAAAAAAAAAAGTTTATGTCATTGACCCCTCTTCATCTCACCGGGCAATTAAGGAGGTGGCTAACGAGCCTGGGCTGCAGCCCAGGTGTGGGGCTTTACCCCAAAGTCATCTCAGCTGCAGCATCTCCCCAAGGGGAGCAGGACTGGAGCATCGGCCGCCTTTCCCTCAATTACAGCCCGTGTGGCCTCGTTCCAGCAACAATTAGCAGCTTCCAAGGGACTCTCGTGTCCTGTGTTACACTTCCCTAATATAATTACCGCAGCAAATGAACAATGAATTAAATCAAGGAGAAAGGAGGGAGGAGACACCAGTTGTGTGTCGCTGCCAGGGGTCGCAGCTCTGTCTCTCTGGAGGCAGGCGATTCCTGGCGTGCTCCAGGCTTTTCTGGTTTGGATCTTCTGCTTTGGGAAAGGGATGTCAGGAGGGATGGTGAGGAAATTCCCAGCTCCAGCATAAAAAGGAGCAGGTAAGAACCCAAGTAGCATCTCCCTGCCACCACGTAGGGGCTGCACGAGTTCCTCTGAGGACCACAGGGCTGCCCAAGGGATGCAGCATCCTTGGAGATTTCCCAATTTGCGTTAAGATTAGAAATAAAACACATGGTTGGAACCAGACCCCCAGCAAAGGGACAGCCTCCCAGGCTGGGGTGAAGTTGGTGGCTCTGAGCTGGTGGTGGGTGGAAGGACATGTCACATCTCTGCTGCGAGACCTTATGGAAGTGGAAGGTGGTTGGTTGGTTTTGGGTTCTTTTTATTATTTTAAAGCAGGTTTCACTCACTTGCAGCCATGTGCTCCCACAGCAAGGAATCCTCCCAGCCCCTTTGATGCTCTGGTACCCAGACAGCCCCACTGGAGCCAGAAAGAGGGGAGGTCTCCCTTCCCTTGGGCTGCTGATGTAGCTTTGTGAGAGCAAAAGGGCTTTGGGAGAGCAATGTGGAGCCCCTTCCCCTTAAAGCATCCTTGGTGTGTTTGCTTTCCCTCTGTGAACGGGCACAATCTGTATTGACCAAGGGTCTCCAGGTACCAAGTGTGGGACGTTGAGGCTCTGCCGTGGGGATGCTCTTCTGGTTTTGCTGCTGGGGGGTGGGCA